TCAATACCGCACATATCTGGCATGTAGCAGCCATCGGATGCGGGGAGGAAACATGGTGCGTAACCTCTATTGCAACTTCCACAATGACTTCAGATAAGACTTCTAGCGTGAAGAAAGAGATTCAGACGTAATTGTCGCGCCCATGCTATTTATACTGCCCGCGGACCGGTCAGCATTTGCATGTTTTGCGTCAATTGGCCAGCTGTCTCCAGCTGGCGTTAACCTATAAGATTTCAGTGAAAATGGAGAAGGGAGGAGTTCCCATATACGTCAGTATGACGTAATGTCGAAGTGACCGCCTTGAAAGGGAACGGGATTATGGCAGAGTCTTCAAAATTTACTGTCCTCTCGTCTTTGAAACGAAACTTTAATACGTTTAGATGTAATTTTATATATAGTTATGTTTATTTAATATAATAAACAAAGAAGCATAAACAAAATGAGGGGTGTCTGTTTTGTCTGTTTTTGTGACTAAAGTTTCTTTAGTATACTAAATAGAGTATAAAAACCAATATAAATTCTCGGTATAGCATTGGACTCTACGATCGGCGGAAGTAATCCAGCATCCTTAGACCTTCACCGGAAATACCGCCGTGCATAGAGCCCATTGGTGATAAACGGTAGACAGGTGCTTATTATGAATTTCCCAGAACAAGGTATTAAACATCAGGGCCTCCACAGAAAAGCAATAAAAATATTTGAACTCATCTGCATGTCCTTGAAATGTTTTTTTTTTTTTAAATATTGATTTAATTTATAAATGCACAACTACAAATGCCTATAAATCGCATCGCTATGATGATTACTTTTTTTCTTTTATGTGTAAATAAATGTAGTATTAACAGTTTACATCTGTAATTTAAAGGTGCTCTATGTAACTTTTCTACTAAAATGAATCCTTTTTTTATTGCCTGTGTGTGAAGGGGTTGTAATCACACATTAAAATGATACACTTGTCGAGTTTTGCTATTACCTCTGAAGGCCAGTATTCCTATTTCTATGTGAAGTCTCCGGGTCGGATTTACCGCGAAATCCAACGGATGTGACGTGCATGCGCGCTCCCGAGCCTCTCTCCTTATATACAGTCTGTTGTAGACGGTCAGGGAGTTACGTCTGGTTAAAGGCGCACGTTTTTCGGCTTATATCTCAGTCAATCTTTGATCAATATTCCCAAGACTCTAATCGTTCGTAGTGCTGGACGGGGCCTTTCGAACGAGCCCACCCCCGAGGTCCAACTCGCCTGGCTCCCCCCCGATTTCGAACGGCTATAAGTTATAGCCATTCGAAATCGGCGGTCCCAGCGGATCCGGTAGGGGGCATCACCGAGGCCCGCCACTCTAGCGTTCCCCTGGGACCTCCTCCCCCGAATTTGAGCTCTCTGGGTCTTTGCGTTCCAGAGATACGAGCGATTTTCTTCTGAGATCGTGGTTTTCTGGTAATATCTCCGCGAAAACACCACCAAAAACTATGGAACTTATATGGTTCTTTTCAGCTCGACTAGATGGTCCCAACGAGCTCGGTGCTCGCCGAATCCGTCAAGTATTCGCCGAGATATTTGCGTAATAGACGGTATTGTCTATGAGTTCGAGCACGAGCGCTCTTGTAAAATTTGGTTGCAATCTGAAACATCACCACTAGAGGCCGCTAAAAGTTACGTAGAGCACCTTTAACAGTCTTACACGAATATATCAATTGCTGAAGATTATCAGGTATTCTCTCACACACACACATGCTACATTTTCTCATGAGACAGAAAATTGCATCCAAAAACTGCATGCACATTTTGTAAACATTTTCTTTTATTAGCAAAACAAGGTCTTGTCAAAGCAAGTAACATGATACAGCTTCTGTTAAAGCAAAAAAAAAAAAAAAAAAAAAGTAGTGAAAATAAATTAGACCTGGATTGAACATTTAACTGTAATGACATGACACTGATATGTGACCACCAAAAAAACTGCATCTCTGCATTCTGTACATCCCCCATCAACTCATACTGAGTAAGTATTGCAATGCTTACAGGGCACCTTTCACTTAAAAGCTCAGTTTAATTTGTTAATCTATGGCACATTTGAAATCTTTAGCCTGCATTTAGTGCTTTTCGCAGAAATGCCTTATTGCAAATGTCTCTGACTGTCTGCTGACTGCTGTGATTTGGGGCTTGCAGATAGGCAGGCCTCCCACTTTATCTGCAGTATTAATTTCACAGGCGTGAGAGAGTGGCTTGGGATAGATCAGGACACCTCTCAGGATTTGAGCTGTCTCCTTCATTCCTCCAACACGTTTTTACCACCAATATTTCCTTGAAAGGCTATTAAAGCAAAGCTTTACTTCTCTCAAATATGATTAAAATAAGCACAAGCTTTATCCCCCAGAGCAGAGGAAATCTGTAGGATTGCTCTGGAAGAGTTTTTTCCAAATGGACCGCTTGAATGTGTCACCGTAGTTCTTTACCACACCGGAAACGGTCAGAGGTCTAAATATCTCTTTACAAATGCATGCAACATGCAGAGAAAACATAGTGTAGAAATTGCTTGAAATAAGTAATCAAAGAGTTTTGGGGCATATCAGTACAGTGGATATATTGTTAAACAACTGGTTTTTGTGATGTCAAAAATTGTAGATAAATCATATCAGAAGTTGTGCACCTTTTAATGTAGAAAATGTCCACCAATGCAATGCCATTAAAAACCAAAGCAACACATTTGAGAGAGAAAAATAAATAAATAAATAACCTTTATAACTATATAATAACTGCATTAGTGTGCACGCCCCTGAACTAATACTTAGTAATACTCATACTAACTTAGTTTTAACTGCTGTGTAGACTTTTTATATCCACTGTATCTACATATTCATAATAGTGCATTTAATTTCTAGAAGAGCATTTAACTTATCTCTTTTTCTCATCTTTCCATCTCATTTCTGTAGGCTACCTGTCAAATATGTTGTTTTTTTCTCAAGTGCTGCATTTTCCAATCCTTCTAAATGTCTTCTGACATGATATATAAAAGAAATGGTATTTTGAGTCCTAGGGTAGCAACACTTTTGCTTGGAGGAGAAATGGATTATGATCAATTTGTGACTTTGGCGAGTAGTCTCACTAATCACACGTATTGTCATACGCACTTAATTTAACTCCCTGATACAAAGCATCTGAATATATTCAGAACACAGCCGTATATGATAATACAACTGACCCTTGACTTTTTACCTGCTGCAATGGTCAAATGTTTTTACTTAACATATTACACATTTGAAATGTATTTCACTACTTATTTGAAACCTAAATCAATTACATTGTTTCCTTAGTTTATTTTTTGTCCTTATAAAAAGAAAGGGCCTTATATTTAGAGGTGTATGCTAAGCTCTTTTCATCCTTGTCATTTGAGGCAATGAAAGAAAAAAGCAGGATATAGATTTGATAGCTTTTCAATGGGCATATTATCTACCTGTAAAAGGCAAATAAAAAAGCAATCAGCTTCACAGTATGACCAGTGCCTCCCTGTGTCAGAAATCCCTCAGTGCGGAAAATAAAATCTCATGCTGGACACAGCAAATCACTAGCTGTCCTCTCTCTCATTTATCTGAACAATTCACACAAGCAGTGGGCTCGAGACATACATTAGGAAGGCATCGTTTCCTTGATATGCGATTATTCATGGCTAACATTACCCATGGACAGCTAGGCATTAGCAGATGATCCTTTTTGAATATAACGGGAAAACAATCTTTAGACTTCAGTCATTCTCATGCACTTTGCATACTTACCAAATAACAATTCTTTTACATGTTATAAAAGGGTAAATTACAGAAATGTCTTGATATTTTTGTATCCCCCAATCAATCTTACATCAGTTTATGATGATAACAAAACTCTGATATGTTAATCTGGAAAGTTGTTGTTTTTTGGGAACTAATTAACTTCTTTATTTCTAAATTCCTATTTACCATACATGCATTTGTAACAGCTATGCGGATAAAAAGCACAAAAAATATTAATAATAATTATTGACTTTTTAAAAACAACCAGTCACTAGTTCAGCTAGCAATGCATGTGGAAATTCATTTGATCAGCTGTGAATTGTGAATGCATGCATGAGGATAAAGTATTATATATAAATTATTAAATGAATGTAAAATTTGTAAAAAAAAAAGTGACATTTTCTACATGAATTAGTTATGTAAATGAGATTTTTTTTTAAATTCAAGAATATCTAAAAACAGAATAACATTCTGTTTAGATGTGAATAGCAAATGCTTCAAAAATGTAAAGCAGATTTTAATCATCAAATAATCTAAATTATTTTATCATTGTTATGCAAGTTTTATGAGCTCAAATTAATTGACAGACTATGAAATGTTTATACTTTCAGAAATTCATTCAGTCAAGCAGTTGAAATGAACTGACCAAGGCAAGAAGGTGATTAAAAGAAAAAAAGGGCTATAAAGGAAATTGTCACTGCTTCTATAAAAATTCCCTTATGCATTCATATAGCCTTTAATCGAAACTGATTTTTTTTTTAAATTCATGGTCATGTTATGCCTATATGACAGCTTTTGTGGTAATTAATCCAGCACCAAGGACAGCACTGAATAGTGTCCTCGCAGTGTAAGATCAAGGCTGTGTGTGTGTGTGTGTGTGTGTGTGTGTGTGGCGGGGGCTTACCTAAACTTTTATAAAAAGCTTTAACGTAATTTTAATTTAATTGAGTCCCCTTTTTGCCGAAATCATTGCTTTTCTGGTGTCATTGTAACTGTATATGTCGCTCACGCGCTGATTGGGCGCGAGAGGTGATGATGTGTCAGAGCGCGCGCTCCTCGCTGCAAAGCTATCTTTGAAACTCTCTGCTCTTGACAGAGATTTGAAACAAATATCTCACAAACCAAGAGGTCGTTCACACACACTTCACTGTAAGTTGCAAAGAAATAATCCTGCCCTTCAAACAGCGCGTTCATTCCGCTGCATCTCCATGAAATAGACTTGCAGACCTCATCTCTCTTCACCAGAGGAACCCTCTCTTTCCACAGATGATTTAAATAGCCTATACTTTCAGGTGTTATAGCATTTTTTCTTCTTCCGTGACGCAAAGCAGCAAATGAACTTGAGGAACATGGTGAAGCAGCCCATGGAGCACATCAAGAGACCAATGAACGCGTTCATGGTCTGGTCGCGAGGTCAGAGAAGACAGATGGCACTGGAGAACCCGAAGATGCACAACTCTGAGATCAGCAAGAGACTCGGTGCCGAGTGGAAGTTGCTCTCTGAGTCTGAAAAAAGACCTTACATCGACGAGGCCAAAAGACTTCGCGCCCAACACATGAGAGAGCATCCAGATTACAAATACCGACCGAGACGCAAACCTAAAGGATTGTTGAGGAAGGACACGCTGTTGTCTTTAGCGCTTCACAGCGAGCGAGACTTTCAAAGCATCTCAACTTTGACCAAACCACGACCTCTCCATTCAGCTGCGTCCATGCAGCATCCTTTCATTGAGCAGATCGGATCCAACAGTGCTTTCCAACATGAAAACCCTGCTATAACCCCTGGCTCGATGGCTTTTTCTCCAGCTTTAGGCTATCAGAGTGGACACAGGTGCATCGGGAGTCTGGGATGCCCCGGTCAGTACGCGCGCACTCACCTGTCTCCTGCAAACCCCGGATACCTGCTGCCCTGTAACTGTTCGCCCTGGTCTTCTTCCAGTCTCACACCTCCACTTGCCTACATAGTGTTTCCAGGTATGAGCAAGACTGCGGTGAACTCTACAGCGCTGTGACTCAGGCATTAGGATGGGATTAATATCGCGGAAAGTTTTTTTAAGAGAGAATTAAGCCGACTGTTTTTTCCTGTTTCTCACTTTAAGTTCTTTAAGTGCATCTTAATAGGCTAAATTTTCATGAACATTTAGCCTATTGAATGGACAACACTTTGATTATGAATTGTATATTAATAATGATAGCCTACCTACCTAGTAAGTTAGTTAGATAGTATTAGTTAGTAGCCTAGTTTTGGAATTTCACATTTGTTTTCGCATTGATTAATGAAGCCCATCCCATTGTAATAATTATAAATGATAGAATTACTTAATGCTCAGAGCCAAAGATGAATTTTAACACAATCAAATGCCATGATCATTTGAAGTCATTTGTGTATCGAAATTTTACCTGAAAATTGTTATATGGATTAAAATGCAGTGAAAGACTCTTTCGAAGTTTTTCTACATGCTAAAATGCCAAAAACAACCAAAAATATGAATAAAATATACCAAGTGTTCCTTGCTGATTTTAAAACAGATAAAACACTTGTTTTAAAAGCATGCTCAGCTTACTGTAAACATAATGTTATACAACAGAACATTCATTTTGACTTTGAATTTAATTTGATCCAATTACGAAGTCATAGTAGCTATTTAACCTGTCAGTTAAAGCAATAAGCCCCATTTAGCCGTGGTTTACTGTGACTTTAGAACAGCTAAGGGGCATTGCCTTAGCTGGTCTAAAATCACTGTAAATCATGGCTTCACTGGGCTTATTGCTTTTATAAAAAGGTTATTCCACGTACCTGGCAAGCAGTGCTTGACATTAACTTTTTTGCTCACCAGCCACTGTTGCTAGTAGTTTTCCAAAGTTACTAGCAACTCAGCATTTTCACTGGCCACAATTTTGTCATCGATACCATGGGGGAAAACCACCATACAGAATTACAGATATTTTTATTATAATTTGCTGTCACTTTAAGACCTGATTGATGCATGTATTACATATAAGCGTTTTCTTTCTCAACTGTTTACATTCACTTAAAACACAACTGACTATGTGATCACGTAAAATTTAGGACTGGGAAGTGGCTTTATGTGCGCGCACTCTGGGTGTGAGCACAAAATCGGCAGCAATAAGTAAAATTATGCGCAATACGCGCAATCCCATGGCGAAATTCAAGCCCTGTAACACCAACAATATTCATCCGGAGGAAATGAAGTGAGGGAGGCGGGTTTGTGTCAACTCGCTTTCGGAGAGACGAGAGAGCGAGAAAGCACAGAAAATGAGTACTGGAAGAGTTTCAGATATTTCCGCATAGATATGTGTTTTGAAAAATCAATATTTTTGACAACACTACATTGCACTTAGTTTATTATTTCAGATGCCTTTTTAAAAGACTACAATTGAAAAATATATATATAATTCAACCCGCCAAAGTGGCTAGTATAGTGACTGCGTTACACGCCACAGCTGAAATCCACCCGAATTTGGTGGGATGGCGGGTGTATTTCACTGTTTGTCTTTGCTGGTTATTGATATCTTGTGGTCTTATGATTCATGAATTTCTTATTCAGGCAACAATCCTCTTGTCTAAAGCTGTGATTGAAATCATAAAGGGAAAAAAAACCCATTGTATCAATAAAAAAAACTTTTCAATTGTAAACAAATTGTCTGTTCTGTTTTTTTTTTTGTTGCATTCCCTGTTTTCAACAAGTGCAGATTTGCATTTGTGTGTTTGCCATAGTTTTTTCCCCCTCCCTCCTATATCCTGAAATCTTTTACATGTTATTTCTTCTCTCTGCCCTGTCCATTGTAATACATTAATATTGATGTTCTAGACAGTAACATGTCGGCCAATGCATATTTAGCCTAAATAAAGCTATGTATGGGTTATTTTGGGAACAACCCAAAATAACATTTTTTGTTAATTAACAGTTTTCTACAATTCAACTGTCTATCAAAATATTAATAATTTATAAATGTATGTAATTGTAATAGGTGGAATAATATAGAAGGACAAGAGGTGGGACAGGTGGAAATCATCTTCTTCATCATATGGTTCTTACAAGCCTTTCTTTAGTTTTGTTTTATAATGTTAATCTCATAAGATTCTTGTAATATTTTGACATTTTTCTCATGTTGTAGAGTGGCTTGCGAAAGTATTCAAACCCTATTAATTTTTTCACATTTTGTTATGTTGCTGCCTTATGTTTAACTACTTTAAATGACTTTTTTTTTCACATTAATCTACTTTGCAAATGTATTAAAAATAACCAAGCCATGAGGTCAAAAGAACTGCCTGTAGAGCTCAGAGACTGGATTGTGTCAACACACATATCTGGGGAAGACACCGTCAGTGACTTGGGCGACTCATCAGAGTCGAAGGAAAAAGCTCAAATATAGCAAAATATAGAGATCGCCTTAATAAAAACCTAGTCCAGAGCATTCAGATCCTCGGACTGGGTAGATGGGTTCCCCTTCCAACAGGACAATGACCCTAAGCACACAATGCAGGAGCGGCTCATGGACAACTCTGTGAATGTCCTTGACCCAGTCAGAGCCTGGGCTTGAACCCAATTGAACATCTCTGGAGAAACCTGAAAATGAATATGCTGTTTATGTCTGGATAATAATAATGCATAATATCACGCACAATCATGAAGGTGTTCACTGGTTTTTCATCATTTTATTGAATAATGTACAGTACACATTATCACGTGCATCTTACCACATGCAATTAAATGCTATAAAACATTTTTTAAATCTTTGCACATTCCATTTATAATGTCTCATGTTTTGTTTTCTGTCCTCGTAAATGTAATTAATTACTCATTGTTATCAGACTCTTTTCATCGTCTGCTGATTCTTCATGCATCAGCATTAAAGTATTCAGCAGAGCAACAGTCAGAGAGGTGAAGGAAAAGCAAAGCAGAATTAATCTTGAATTAAATGTTTACTCACTGAGTCAAAATGATCTAGCAATTAGGTGTGCAATTTAAGGCCTGTCTGAACTGTTCTTCGATATTACACATCAAGTGACCTCAGGTATATTTGTGTTAGTTAATGCTCAGACAGATTATGATGATTAAAATCCTCCTTTTATGTTTCTGTTAGAAGTAGGTGGAACTATGACCGCTCAAAGCTTATTACAAGCATCACTTTATGAGTGTGCAAGTGAGCCTTCACACTATAAAAAGCAGTCTCACCCTGTCCAGCTTCAGTTAAACTCAACGCTTGTCACTATCAACTTCCCCAGATCTTTAACCGAGAAACGAAGACAGAAGCATAATGAGTGCCGCCGCGCTGCAGACCACAGGTTTTGTTTCAGGCGTCATCGGTACGGCTGGAGTTTTTGCAGCCACGCTTATGGATGTCTGGTGCGCCAGAAACCAGCAGGAGCACAAGGTAACTTCCATCTACACTTATAAGGGCCTGTGGAAGGATTGTGAGGTGTCCAGCTCTGGATTCCCTGAGTGCCAACCTCTCTACAGCCATCTGAACTACTCAGGTGGGTTGAGATTTTATTAAAAAAAAATTTAGATTGAGAGTGAGATTTTCTACAAACCCAAAATGTACCTAACATTGAGTTAAATTTGTGCCAGAAGTGTTCATTTTTTCACCTATTTTTCGCCAAATGTTTCTTTTTGTGTGCACTAACTGCTAGCCTGACAATGAAGGTAGATAAGCAACGTGAAATTATTTTTATATGAATATACACTTTTTTGTCTGCTCTAGTCCATACTTAACAATAATATTAGGTGGAAATCAAACTCAAAGGCACTAATGACCCTCTAACATCCTGTTTTTTATTTTCAGGACTCCTTCAGGCTACAAGAGCTTTGATGGTAGTAGCAATTCTAGCGAGTGTGATCGCAGTTTTCATCGGATTCTTCTGCCTTAAGTGCCTCAAAATGAGAAGTATGGAGTTATCGACCAGGGCCAAACTGATACTAAGCACAGGGATCATCTTTATCATTGCCGGTAAACAAAAGCTTATTCATTACTCACTAACTAAACCCCACTGATCTATCAGTTATTCAATTCTATTAGGTTTACAGATTAAACTGTTATTATTACAATCATTCCCATTATAACACACAATGTCCATAATCTTTGTTCTTTTCAGGCCTTTGTGGTATTTCTGGAGCATCAGTGTATGCTGATCAAATTGTGCCTAGTTTCATGATGACCCCATACAATCAAAAGCAAGGAGAGAAGGGAGGGGTACAATGTGGGAATAACATGGGCATGGGAGGAATTGATTCATTTGCTTCCAGGTAAGAGGAAAAACCACTGATTTTCAGCTAAATGTTCAATGGTTGTCTGTTATGTGCTGATCACATCACTTCCTGTTTTCTCCATCTTTGTTTTGAATGGTTAGGTACACATTTGGTCCCGCCCTCTACATAGCCTGGGTAGGAGGAGCTTTGTTACTCCTGGGAGGAATTTTGAAGTGCGTCGCATTCAAAAGAATGCAAACGTAAGTCGCTGCATTTTAAAGCGCAACAGATCTTAAATATTAGATCTGTCTATCTATCTATCAATCTTTCTTTCGCTCTGTGACACATTAAGTTGAAATGTACATGGGTTGTAAACTAACTAGCATGTTCCATTTTAGGAACACTGATATGAGAGAAAGATATATTTACAACGCCCCAGCCCAGTGCAGGGCAGAAGATGAAGAGTCCCATGTCCAGAGAGTCCAAGGAGAACAAAGAAATTAATGTTTTATGAATTAATGTAAACGTTTTCCCAAATCATGTCAGGCCTATATGTACTGCCTTGCAATGATGAACTGAAGCACATTTTCTGTGTGCTGTTTTCGATAATTACAGTGAAAATGTGTTCTTTGTTTTTTAATGTCTCTATTGAAAAGTCTTGATTGTATATGGGTAAATTGGTCAAATAAGGTTGGAACGTCACAGGTGTTTAAGATTCAACAGCCAATCACTGTAAATCATTTGCTGTTTGGAATTATAATAAACTTTTGCCACAACAGTACTTGACATGTTGCAGCTAAATTGTTTGGCCTATCTCAGAGCAATTTCTTATATTTACAGAGACTGGAGAAGAAAAGAAAAAGAGGAGTGTCCTCCTGACGAACTATTCTCAAAGTACCTTACAGCTATTTAAAAAAGGGACATTTCATAGACTTTAATTGTTTTTATATAACTAATTAAAAACTCTACTCTAACCCAATTGCTAAAAGACAAATGTGCATCGGTAGAATAAAAAACAGAGACAGAGACAAACATTTCTCATTCATTCCTGACTTTACCATATTGACAGTTTGTTTTCATTTCATGTGATATTTATAGATCAATTTACCAATATTTTTTAGTAAAATTAAGAATTTTTTATACATTTAAGAATAAGATTAAAAATATTGAACATCAAAATATAGTTCAGCCTTTTTAAAATAGATAGAAAGCTCTTTGCCAACATATAATAACTTGCTACAATGCAAAAGAAAATAACTTTTTGCCATTCTATTTCACATTCGAATTGTTTGCTGCAAATTGTCCATAAAGTGAAGTTAAACCAAGAACATCTTTACACCAGAAAATAAACAAATGTCAGAGGAACTTGGAGTCTTTAGAACGTAGTGCTAAATGTGTCAGGAATCATTCACAACAACTCTAAAAAAGTCCATCAAACATACCGAGAAAAACACTGGTCTCATTGCTGATGTCCTCTGCGTGATCCCTGCAATTATTAAGCAATGTTAACATTGTAAACAGGTAATATGATAACTAAAGTTAATAATTTCTTGAAATACCTGCTAACAGATGTGTTTTCCTTTAGAGTCGCATCTGTCCTTGAGAAGAAATCAAATCTTCTTTGGACTGAAGGTGTTTTGGCTTGACTCTGGTTTGAGAGGGAGTTCATACAAATTTCTGAGCACACAGCCTATGAAATGAATTATAAAACTAGCTATTTGCAACTGAAACACAATCATTGTGTGCTTTCTAAGTAACCAAAATGCATGGTACCATATTCGTCTTGAAAAGTTTGAGGGAAATGTTAAAAGTATTTATGTATACTTACAGTCTGGGGTGTCACAGCCATTGGTAGGATCCTGAAAAAAGTAATCATATTTTCAGAGGCATTAGTCCAAAAGCAAAGGACACTTCAGAAGATATTATACAGTAACATAATACACCCTCTGGACCCTAAAATAACTGCTCTTGAATCCCTATTAAACAAGCTTTTAATCAGGGGAAGTGAGTGATTTTAAAAATGCCCCACAACATCTATTTCTGCTGAACTGAAACATGTGAATGAAGAGGGAGAAATGGTCTATTCTCAGTTACCTTTGTGGCAAGACTTCAAAGGTTTGGGCTGGACATTGTGAGTGTACAAAAACAACAAAAAAAAAAACATCAAGGAAGTTTAGCATTTCAAATTTGACAGATTTACAACCATTTTCAACGATTTTTACAAATATCTGACATACAAAAAACATAAAAGAAAAAAATAAGACTATAAAATGAGTCCAACAAACCAGAATTTGTAGGTTGATCATGGTCTGTCATCAGGTTACATATTTGGGATTCATAGCACACTTCACTAGCATCAACCAGGTTACCATCATCAAAATCATCCCAATCATTCCCTACCAGGTCAAAGGTCACATTCAGGGAACCAGACCAGAGGTTATCAGTGTCAGTACTGTGGTCTGGGTTTGCATGGACTGAATAAACACTGGCTTCATTAGGGCTAACTCTGTGCATCTGTCCACCATTGCGTGGCTTGAACTGACTGTGAAGCGAAACCCCTGAAAATATGACGGTACCATTATTATTATTATTATTATTAATATGAACAATATGAGGCAAACACCAGAAGCTCTAAAGTTTCATACTTTGATGTGAAGCAGAAGGTGGAGGATGTTCCAATGCTAGGTCTCCAGTTTCAGAAAAGAAGTCTCCAAGCTCGTCATTGTAACCTGTAAATAGTTTGACAATTGAAACATCAGAGTTCTGAGATTTCGAATTAAACACTAATTCTTAAGAAACTCTAAACTCTCACTGTAACTGCAATATTTTCTGTCAACAAACTTGAGTGTATGTGAATCAGAGTAAACATACCATCATGGTATGATGATAAATTCTCGTGTGGAGTGACAAAACTGGCCTCTAACTCCTTGATTTCATATGTACTTTGAGTGTAACCCTGACTTCCCTCATACCTACAAGAAGGAATGTCAACTTTAGGAAATAATACAATATCAACAATGACAACTTCATCGACAATAATAGACTATGTGCACGTTAGCATATGCTACTTCCGGCTGCGAAACCGATAGGGGGTGTCTAGTTTCCGGTAGCCTGATGGACGACGTAGAAGTAACGTTAAACATTGTTTACTTTTCACAATGCAGCAGCGCCTGGTTACCGTAATTCCTCAAATAAAAACCGGTATTCAAATAAACGCCGGGCCTCTGATAATGGCCGGGTGCGTGATCAACGCGGACAAATAAAGGCCGGGGGAAAATTAGTGTGGATAATCTCCTAAATGACTTTCATTGAAGAGATGTTACACCTGTCCACTTCATGCGTGTTCTGTGATCTGATCGTGAAAAGACCATGTATAAATGCCATCCGAAGCACATTCGAGACAATTTAAATCCGATCGCTCAAACCACTTCTTCAGGAGGAGATCTGAGACGAGATTCCAGACGAAACTGCACAAGTGTAAATCAAATGCATCTGATTGTTGAAACCACGTATCTAAATTTTACTCCTCCCAAAAACGCTAAAAAATAAGTGTGAGAGCGTGTTATAGGCTATGTAATGTTATAGCAAGATGTGACAACGCTACTGCAACACGCATCACGGCAGCCGAGCATCTATCCATAAAGCCAACGTGCAAACTATTGCAAATTAAAGTGAAAGTAAGTCGCAGACAATTCTCCTCATCATTAAAAGTAAAGAAACGAAATGATCTTACCAGGCTTGTTGCCGCTCTCGCTTATTGCGGTCTTTTGATTTAGAAATGAGCTGATCTATCAAATGCAGCTCATATCTGTTGCTTTCGGTGACGTCCACTCCATTAAATCCGCATATAGCGTGGGAATTGAAGATTTATATCCGTTTTGCGAAAACGCATTTGTGAGCAGATTTAAGTAGAATTGTTTTGATAAATCAGAGAGCTTTCCGATCTGAGAAAACACATGAAGTGGCCAGGTGTAAACATCCCCTAATATGCATTCAAGTTCATCGTAACGTACAGCCAATAGATGGTAGTAGACAATAGATGTAACACACATATAATTTAGTGCTGCTAGTGTAACGGTCTTTTCAACAACTTTAATGAAAACGAAATTGTCTTGAGGAGCATGGAACCCAGACGGAAATTTGATTTAGATTTTTTTTAAATAAAGCGCCTGCCTCTAATAAAAGCCTGTTACCTTCTGCAGTTTAGGTAAATAAAGGCCCCAGCTTTTATTTGAGGAATTATGGTATTACCACCGACTGCCCTTTGAAAAGTGAATCGGTTTTTTTTATGTTTTAGGTCCATTGCGAACGATTAAACTAACTTAACGCCGGTCCACTGATGTAAACAAGACGGCAACCGGAAACGAAGTACCCAATTTCCACCCTCAAGCCGGAAGTTAGCATTTTTCTCGTGCACAGAGCGAATAGGGCAACTTTTGTTGTCAGCAGAAAACCAAAATACTTCTTGGCAGCAGGCAGTGTGTCTTTGGGTTTGTATGAGAACTGCTGCATGCTTACAGCTGCTGTTCCATTATTCATCATCATCTAAAGGGAAACTCAAGAAAATTGGATTGAGACTTTGACACAACACAATACAGTATATCTTGCAGAAATAAATTCTATAGGCATTGAAGTGTACTATTATTAGACTATATTGAATCATATATTTTCTGACAGTTGTGTACATGTAACCCTTGATAGTCGGAATTCTGACCTTCAAACGTTTCACAGGAGTCTCACAGAGTCTCTCGTTTCTCATTTTCAGATTGTTAAGGTATGAGGAGAAACAGGACTGAGCCCTTTTCATGACTCCAACTTTGCCTAAAAGGGAAACAAGGTGATATAGCAACACAGATAGTATCTGTTTCCATCCACATTTTGCGCATCATGGGATATTGCATGAAAAAACGCTGGATGGAAACGGGAAGATGCGCATAAATAAAAATAAAATTTTTTTTTGCTCAACTGAGTCAGATAAATGTTTTATTCGATAAAAAAATGTACTGAATAAATTCCTCAATGTGCATCAAAAAAGACATATGACTTTGCGATGGGACGGCATTACTGGATGACCCAGCGGACTGATATAATTATAATATATTAGGCCTAATATATTATATACAATGGCTTCTCCTACTGCATCAACTTCCATTTTTCTTTTTCTATTTATTGCCAGTTTATCATTAAAGCTGCAGACCGTAGCTTTTTTTGGGTTAAAAATTATCCAAAATACATATTTGAGAAAATACATAACCAGCCAGTGTTCAAAACTATCTGCTTGCCGTAGCTCGAATCAAAGCGGTAAGTTTGTAATAATGTTTTTAATTCCAGTGGTACTGGAGAATTTCTGCGGGAGATTCGAGCAAGTCTTTGCGTCATTACGTCACATCTGTACACATAAAGAAGAGTCTCGGCTAGTAGGCTATATTGCGTGTGAGGATGTTGGAGGTGGAGATTTATAGCCTTTTCTCACAGCACTTGATATAATTAAACTTATCAATTTGATGGCGGATCCAGAAAGGTTCAAACGACAATCACCAGTGACAACTGGAGATTCACGCGCTGTAAAATTCAAGACTTTGTTTGGACTTCGGAGTGGCTACAGAAAAAAAGAGACTGCAACCGGCCCATGCGAAAACAAGGATACATATCGGAAGAAGGACATTACATGTAGTCACGCAATGCTGACGTTGTTAACATTAACAAT